TGAGTGTGGGAGTGGGTGTGGGTGTGTTTGAGTGTGGGAGTGGGTGTGGATGAGTGTGGGAGTGGGTGTGGGTGTGTTTGAGTGGGAGAGGGTGTGGATGAGTGTGGGAGTGGGTGTGGGTGTGTTTGAGTCTGGGTGTGGGTGTGGGTGTGTTTGAGTGTAAGAGTGCGTGTGTGTTTGAATGGTGTGAAGGTGCATGTGTGTGTTTTTAGTGTGTGTCTGGGTGCAAATGTATTAATGTCAATGTGGGGAACAAGTTTTTGTTCCTAACAAACAGAGGATGTCACAATGTCCTCACAACCATTGAAAGCTGAAAGCTACAAACCTTCCACCCCCATTCCAGCTTCACAAGAAGCCTTAATTTCCCTATGTACTCCTATTTTCTGTGGCTCACCATCTGCAAGGAATTTCCCGATTAAAACAAATGCAGTGCAATAGCTACAGTATGCACTGCAGTGAATGGAGAAACAAGCTAGCTGGCACTCCACTGTAAAAGCTGGCTTCTGCAGGCTGGAGCAATAAATCATCTTTCTCAGACAAAATGTCTTCATGCTGTTCAAGGCTCTGTGTGGAGAGCAGAAGGGCAGCATGGGAGACGTCCTGTCAGACTGATCCCTCCACAGAACAATGAGATTCTGGTGACTCATAGCCTGCGGCAGTTCTCTGCAGATACGTGAAGAAGAGGGCTCTGTGTGTGAGTGTGTGTGCGGCTATGAATCACCCAGATCCTTGGATAAAATAATACCTCTCGCTGATTTCAATTATCTGGGGACTAATTGAATTGCCTCGCACTCCAAAACCTTCAAGGAGGTCAGAGGTCAAAAAGCTTCTGCTGAATAAAAGGGTGCTCAGGATAACTAGGTGGCAATATCCGCGCTGCTTATTATTCCATTACCTCTGCGTGTTGACTGACACGCTGTGGGATAGATGTCTTGTATTAGACTCAGACACACTGAAAGAACAGTCTCTGTTTGGAGCTCATCAGCTTGACAGCACAGAGAAAGATGTTTTGAGGTGACTGTGCTCACAACAGGATGGCGCAGTGGGTAGTGCTGCTGTCTTTCTGCTCCAGGGCCCTAGGGCTCCGTTTGGGCTTAGGGTGCCTGTCTGTGTGGAGCTTGCACGTCTTTGCCATGCTTGCCGTCTTCTGCATTTGCCTCCTGCTTCCTGCTTCTCAGAAGGTTTGACCGGCCCTTTCTGGATCGTACAGCTCAGGACAGTTAGTACCTGGGGTTTTCCCTGTGCTGCTTAGGGACACATGGCAGTTCTTGACTTGAACTCTTGAAAAATGACACATTTTTATACATTTATATTTATATTTGTGGGTGTAGGTTCACCACCTGCCTGATAAGGATAGTCTTCCTACCTGTTGTGTCTCTCACAAGATTCCCAGTGTACTCCCAGTGTCCAGCAGTCTTCTTGACAAAGCAGGCGCTGGACACTTTCTGGACACAGGGCTCTGCCATCTGCAAAGATTCTTCTCTTGGTTCACTTCGCCTTTTTCTTTCCTGTTTCATTCAAGCAAGATACCAGGACCTCCCCCTCCCTCCCCAAGCTGGACCTGCACGTCATTCCCGTGTGGAAGAAGGGGATCACGGGGAAGGGCGTGGTCATCACCGTGCTGGACGACGGGCTGGAGTGGAACCACACCGACATCTACCCCAACTACGTAAGACTGCCTTTGCCCGGGGCTGGGAGCTCACACAGAGGAGCCAACGCCAGGCTCCGGCCATCGCCATGTTCGCGGTTCCTTAGCCCTCGTGCTGCTGCAGTAATCAGCCCAGAATGACTGCTGAGAAAGCACGGATCTGTTCCCCAAGCCTGAGCGCCAGTGTGTCCACACAGCCGCCCCTGCAGCGCGACACTCCCACGCAGCTCAGCATGACAGCAGAGCAGAGTGAAGAAACCGAGCGGCGCGGTCAAGCCAGTGAGAAAATAAAAAAAGCTTCTCTTGACTAATTAGGCTCTTTAATTAATCAGAGTGAACTGAGTCACAGAGCCCTATGCATCACGCTATTCATTAATTTGCCAAGCTTTTAATAAATGGTTGTAAATAATTATGCATAAAATGAGATTTAAAAGATTATTTTTTTAATCTTCTTAATAGAATTTTTCATTGTGTGCAGCCTTAAATGACATGGTCTTTAGCATTATGGAAAGAGCAAGGAAATTATAATTCCGTTCAAACTCCTTGGTCATCATGTCACAGTACATTCTTAGATCTGGACACGCTTTGCATTGCTACTGTGTTAAAATGTTATCACACTTTTCTTATCAAACACGTACCAGGACCAGGAGTTGAAATTTTTAGGGGCAGAGCAGTAGCACTGTGGCTAAGGATCTGCCCCTGTGGCTGGAAGGTTGCCAGTTCAAATCCCACAGCTGGTCCCTGAGCAAGTTCCTTAACCCCAATTGCTAAAGGAGTGCTGTATAAATGGCTGACCCTGAACTTCTCTCCCAGTCTGTGTCTCATGGAGAGCAAGCTGGGATATGTGAAAAGACAAATTCCTAATGCAATAAATTGTATATGACTAATAAAGTGATCTATCTACTTGGGTGAAAAATGCATTTGTTCCAAATCAGGTCAATCAAAATTGACAGGCATTTTCTTTTGTTTAGGAACCTGAGTGCTACCCTGAGCTCGTGGTCACATCAAGATTCCTGACACAAAAATGGCCAATTGTGCTCAGCTGCACAATTGTTCTTGATTGCTGTCAGCAAATCAGAATGAATTAGGACAGCTGAAAATTGTATTACTGAAATGCTTGGTGCCTTGGTTCTCTGTATGGTGTGCTTGTACACAGACTCTGGTTGTATTTATTTATCTGACTGATACCATTGTCCATGACACGGTTTTGGCAATATTATATAAAAGGGCCTAATTTAATATTTGTCGTTTTATTTAAAAGGGTCTTGTTGAAGTCCGGTGTTTGTAGTACAAAAGGAATGAATGTGAAGATAGAAAGTTACTGGTCTAAAGAGGCCGATACCGTTCCAGACATGCGCAGTGTACTTTTATGCATTTTCTTTTGCATTATAAATATCAGACTGAAAAGTTTACAAATGCAGCAAAAGGTTTTAAAAAAACTATTTGACCTCTGAGAGGATTAGTCACAGACAAGGGAATGTCGAACTGCATGTATTTAACAAAGTACAAACACAGCACTGAGAAACAAGACAGAGGAGGAAATGCAGAGACAGATCTTCACCACATTTTTCTTCCCTTTTCGATTTAGGATCCAGAAGCCAGTTATGACTTCAATGACAACGATCCAGACCCTTTCCCTCGATATGACTCTACCAATGAAAATAAGTGAGTAAGAACAATCCTTGTACCATGTACTCAAGTCTGACATACAGTACGTACCCTCACTGACACGGGAATGAAAAACATCATATAACAGAATGAGTGGCAGACTGGACAGAGAGTCTTAAGACATCTAGGATTGGTATCCTACAATAAAACAGCACTGTTATTGCATTGCACAGTGCAAAAGCCATATTTGTCCTTAATAATTAAATTCCGTAAAACACTAAATTCACACATATTCACATCTCTAAGTGTCCCTCTTAATAAAATCAGTCAAAAACAAATTTGCAGTCACATTCTGCCTTTTGGAAGTGGAACTATATAGTGGCCTCCAAAGGGTCCTGTTTCCCTGAGGCACAAAAAGAAGGATACACATTAATCATGGTTAATTTTCTTACCCGAAGACTGTAGGAAAGTGGGGCAATGCTAATGTCAAAGTTTTTTAAGAAGGACACATTAATATATCTTCACAAGATATGATGTTTTTGTTCCTGTTTCGTCTAGAGTAGTAAAAAATCTGGAGGGCGCTGTGTATGTGAATGTGGTTTAATTGTGTGTTGCTAAGAAAATCTCAAACATTCTTCCCTGGTGTATGCCTACAAAAGACGTTTGGAAAAAAATGGTTCTCTCATCTCATCCTATTTAGTTTATGGACCTTAAGATGCAGCTGGAAAATAAATTTGATTTCAAGTGTAATGATGTCAGAGTGAAATGGAAATATGGTGAACACAGCGGCTTCAAATTCGCTGGTTTGCTGGTTTTATTTTAATGTGATTTTGCCCCGGATCTGTACCTCGGACAATGCGCCCAATTAGCTGACTCACCAGGCGTCAGCACTCAGTGCTGCTTCCCAGCGCACCTGTGCGCACCTCTCAGTGAGTCAGGCCGAACAAACCGGCCTGCGTCTCCAGGGGGACCGAGCACTCTTCCTGCTCTCAAAGGCCGGAACCGACGATCTCTGCATCACAACAGGAACAGAAAAACAAAGCAGAAGTGACAGCGATTACAGAGTGTGGACAAAAATGGAGAACCCTGATACGTCATCATCACTCTTCGGTGATACTGCCGATCTGCACACCGTAAAAAGCTGAAGTTTTAGAGCCTGGATTCCGTTTTTAAAACCAGAGAGCCTCACAGTCCAACAACTGTCTGAGGAACTGACTCAGACGTACTGCTGGTTGGCCCGGTCTCACAGTGAGACAGGTGCTGTACAGAGTAACAGCAGCTCGAGGTTAGTTCTCCTTTCTCTACATCGAATAGCTCCAAACAAAAACAGGAACAAAAACAATTTCAAATTAGAATAAAAAAAATAAAGATGGCACTGTATGTCTAGGGCCGATATAACAATAACATGAATCGGACAGAAAACACATTTTCCAGCACTTCAGTTTGAAAGAAATCTGTTTTAAATATGTTTTTCTGTATGAATGTTTCTATCAGTGTAAGTACGCGCTCTATGTGAGCTCAGGTTAATTGGGTTCTGTTTTCAGCTGTGTGGTGACATCGACAGAGGGGCGTTAACGCACAGAACACGCGTGTCCAGGACCCGGTGTTGCTCTGTGTCACGAGTCTCAGGAGCGGAGCGCTCTCTGTGTGGCGTGGGACCCTGTGTGCTGATGCCCACGACCGCGGCAGCAGTGCTGTGTTGTGTTGTGTTGTGTTGAGTTGTGTTGTGTTCCCTCAGGCATGGCACCAGGTGTGCGGGAGAGATCGCCATGCAGGCAGACAACGACAAGTGCGGCGTGGGGGTGGCCTACAGCTCGAAGGTGGGAGGTGGGTGTGACCGAGGTGCGAGACGATACAATGCCACATCATGGAGGATGGGGTCGGCACACGCGCCTGTCTGGCTCTTTCCCAAGTAGATCGCGAGGCTTGCTGGATAATACAAAAAATACCAATGAAAGAAATAGCCTGTCCTCGGACGGGAAAATATTCTGAGGCATTTTGCCCACAGAAATAAATCAATCAGAAGAATTTACTTATTGAAATATTGGGGAAAAAAGTGTCTAAATGGCTGGACTGATCCAACTATCTGACAGGTTGCTCACGTAAACCAACCCAAAATATATACATCTGTATTTGTTTTTCTTTAATTTTGCCTGTGCACCACTATGCCAAACAGTAGGAAAGTTCAGGCCTGGTGTGCGACTGCAGCAGGTGACACATCACCTGGCTCAGCGGAGCAGACTTTGCCTGGGTTTTTGACCTGTGAGTTGCGATTAAACAACATGGCTCATAGTTCAAGCTACTGTAGCTCACTTCTGATTCTCCGGTATCCTCTGCGCCCAGTGTGATTCCCCAGCCGGGGTAGTTACTCCACAGGGCACACAGCGGCGTGCAGCAGGTCAGAGGGGGGTGTTGTGAGTCCTGCGCAGTCAGGAGGCACAGCGAGCTGCAGTAGCAGCTGTCAGCAGTGGCTGGACAGGTTGGGGAGTCAGTGGAGAGGCTTGGTCTGAACAGCTCAGCCCAGTATCTGAGATTTGAAAATTCAGCCCAGGGGAGGACTGAACATGGGGTCAGTCATAGAGACAGTGCTAATACATAAAGTCCAATCAGAGATACTTTACCTTAAAATCCGCCACATTGTGAGCATTTTAGTATTGTGCAAGAGACTCGCTCTTAATAATGATATTGCAGGTACTGGTTCCCTCCTAGTTCGGCTCAATGGATTCGTAAAGATACATAAAGTTTGCAGTTTCCCCTGACTTCACCTGAAGCTGGTGCTGTATTTGTAAAAGCACAGCTCGGAAGAAGACTAAGAAACCTTTCCTTTACTTTTGTCAGTTTTCTTCTGTGGGGATCAGAAGCTGTAACATGGAAATGCTAGTTTTTGGGTGCGGGCATCCACAGTTATAGCAGGGAAAGCAAATTTCTACTGTCAGGCAACTCAAGATGATGAGATTTGTCCTGCTTTTGTAAAACAGGCAGAGAGGGCACAGCCCTGTGATTTGCTGAGCTGGTGCAGGTCAGGGAGGGAGTTTCTGTGAGGCTTCGTGAGTTCAGAAGTGAAAGCAGTGTCTCACCTGGGCTGGACTCTGTTCCCCAGGGATAAGGATGCTGGATGGGATTGTGACCGATGCTATCGAGGCCAGTTCAATTGGCTTCAACCCAGAGCACGTGGACATCTACAGCGCCAGCTGGGGCCCCAACGACGATGGGAAAACAGTGGAGGGTCCTGGACGCCTGGCTCAGAAGGCCTTCGAGTACGGCATCCAGAAGGTAAGACCCCCACAGGGCAGCTCTGTGTGTCTGCAAAGGCCTCCAGCACAGCAGATTACAGTGAAAGTCACAGGGAATCGGTTCTCCAGAGCAGTCATTCTCCAGGAGAGTCAGACTCCAGAACAAACTGGAGAAACTGGGGCAGAGTGGTGGCTCTGTGGCTCAGGATCTGCGCCTGTGGCTGGAAGGTTGCCGGTTTGTATCCCGCGGCCGGCAGAGGAATCCTACTCCATTGGGCCCCTGAGCAAGGCCCTTAACTCCAGCTGCTCCAGGGGTGCTGTACAATGGCTGACCCTGTGCTCTGATCCCCAGCTCTTTCCCTGTCTGTGTCCCATGGAGAGCAAGCTGGGGTCTGTGAAAAGACAAATTCCCAATGCAAGAAATTGTATACAGCTGATAAAGTGATCTTAAACAGCTCATGGAATCCTCTGTAAAGATCAACCATGGATTTTCAGGGTTGGATTGTGGACTCTTGGACTTCTGCATTCTCCTGCTTTTGGTTTGAGGTGCTGCAAGCTACATCTCGTGCTTTCAGTGTGCATCCCTGCTCATTTTCTGCAGCCTAGATTTCTAGTCAAGTTGAAATTCTTATAAACTGGGTTATTTGGAGGGATTGGGGGGAGTGTATAAGAACTGTGAACAAATGCAAACAATCATTCCCCACTTGGAGATACTTGAATAAGTACTTGGAGTCACTTGGAGATACATGAATAAACAAGATCTCATTTTTAAATGCCTTGAATAACTTTTAAGTTTGCAGCTGAAAAACATCAGGCCCTGCTGTAGAACAGGGATACATGTCTCCAGGAGTCAAGTCCGCTGGCTCTTCAAAGTTAGCAAATTTGTTCTTGCAAAAACCCTGGCAGTAAGAGTCTACACTAGCGGGGCAGAGAGATTAAGAAGTAACTCAAAGCTCCTGGATTTGGGGGACCAGGTCTCTCCCTCAGGTATGGTGGTTTGGTTCAGTCGGGATCAGTTTTCACCAGAGCTCGTCCGGGGGCTCCAAGACACTCGGGGCTCCAGAGCTCATCTGGGGGCTCCAGTGCACTCGGGGCTCCTGAACTCATCTGGGGGCTCCAGTGCACTCGGGGCTCCTGAGCTCCTCTGGGGGCTCCAGTGCACTCGGGGCTCCTGAGCTCATCTGGGGGCTCCAGTGCACTCGGGGCTCCTGAGCTCCTCTGGGGGCTCCAGTGCATTGGGGCTCCTGAGCTCCTCTGGGGGCTCCAGGACACTCAGGGCTCCTGAGCTCGTCTGGGGGCTCCAGGACACTCAGGGCTCCTGAGCTCCTCTGGGGGCTCCAGGACGCTCAGGTCTCCTGAGCTCGTCTGGGGGCTCCAGGACACTCAGGTCTCCTGAGCTCGTCTGGGGGCTCCAGGAC